TTGGGCTACACTCAGAACTGACCCTAATTTTGTACTGAAGGCAATGAAAGGAGGCAGGAACAGATCTTGAAGACAAGCATGATATTATGAAGCACCTGTCTCTGATGAGATCTTTTCATGGTCTTCAGGTGAGGGAGGTTGTTCTCCTTGAACAGAGGGGATGGGTTGCTTCTACTAGCCCAAAGGGTTAAGAGTAATTTAGGGGCTTAAGATTCCTAGACTTGTCAGTTGACACAGTTGTCCCCTTCCTAGGTTTTAGGGTGCTTTTCCTTCCCTATCAGGGCTCTAACTTTAGCATAGAGACCTGTCAAGGATGTGCATTCCATTACCTTTACAGCTCTGCCACTCTTATAATTCAACACTGGGCCACATTTTTAGCAGTCTGTGCTGTGTCTACAAGAGAGGAGGGTCTCTTTAAATGATGATATGAAGACCTTCTGGCTTTTACAGTGCTCCCTGAGTTGGTAGCTAGCTGACCACAGCAGTTAAAAATAAAAAAAGCCAGCTAATTCCACAATCCTTATAGTTACCAATGCCCCTTCCCATTCAAAGGAGCCCTGGTGGTACAACAGTTAAGCATTTGGCTGTTAACTGAAAAGTTGGTGGTTTAAATCCACCCAGCAGCTCTGCAGAAGAAAAGCCTGGTGATCTGTAACTATAAAGATTACAGCCTAGAAAACCCTATGGGGCAGTTCTGCTCTGTCACACAGGGTGGCTACAAGTAAAAATCTACTGGACGACACCTAACAACAACAACTTCCCATTTGAGTGCCAGAGCTACCACATAGACTAAATTTTATCTTCATTTTCAATCCACCACAGGGAAGAGCCTTGGTAACTGTGATACCAAAGCACACCAGGTTGTATCACCTCGCTCCTTACCACCCATGGGGTCCTGGTTGCCATCTGACTGTTGATGATCGAGTTCCAGAGTCTCAACCTGAGGGATTATATTCTAGGCTGTCTTCTTACACCAAATTTCTTAGCTTGGTTTCCTCCAAAATCATGCCCTAAGGCAATCACTTGTGTATGGGAGGTGATCCTAGTGAGAAGCAGTGAGGGAATGGGGAGAAGAATATAGAAGATGATATAAGAGTGTGTTGTTGATGTTGCTGCTATGGGCGATGGGAACTCAGTTTCACTGGGGTCTCTTGAAAAGCACACAGAATGGCCTACAAAACTTCTTCCTAAAGGCTAAGAGACAGGAGCATTTATCCATCAGTTACAGTTGCTCACTGGTTGGAGAATGACTCCAGGAGTGGTGAGTGGTAATTCACCAACACTCCAAAGCTGTGCAAGGCATGAGCTGCCAGAGCTACTGCTCACATTAGCCAAATCAGAAGAGCCTTGGGACAGGAAGTAAAGATGCTGGTAAACCCTAGAGAAGCTGTCAGGAGAAGTGAGTGGAAGCTTGCATGAAACTGTTCCCCCAATCAAAGCAGAAATCAGAGATGGTACTTAGAAAGTGTGAATCAGAGAACCAAAGGCTTCTGATGCAACAGGGTTGTTAACTTCTTGGAGATCAGATAATCCTCATTATCACAGGGGTAAGAGAGCAGTCATGTAAGGGAGTCAATATTTATTAAACACTTACTCTATAATAAGTACTACCCAGATAGATGGTCTCTCATACTTTCCACATTTGACACTTGAAAAGATTGACTGATTTTTACATTTAAAAGTATGACTGATGACTAGTACTCACTTGTGGAGCCATGGTAGCACCACTGGTTAAGCATTCAGCTGCTAACCAAGAGGTCGGTAGTTTGAATTCACCAGCTGCTCCTTGGGAACGCTATGGGGCAGTTCTACTCTATCCTATACAGGGTTGCTATGAGTCGGAATCAGCTTGATGGCAAGGGGTTTTCTGGTTAATACTCACTCACATAATTATAAAAATCCACTCCAAACCCGCTGCCATGGAGTCAATTCCAACTCAGAGATCCTATATAGGACAGAGTAGAATTGCCCCATAGTGTTTCCAAAGCTGAAAATCTTTACTGAAGCACACTGCCGCATCTTTCTCCCATGCAGAGGCTGATGTGTTCAAACTGCCAAACCATTGTTAAGTAGCCATGTGCTTAGCCACTGCATCACCAGGGCTCCTTTATATAATTATGGAAACCTGGTGACGTAGTGGTTAAGAGCTTGGCTGCTAACCAAAAGGTTGGCAGTTCGAATCCACCATTATAGTACACATAAAACAAAATAAATTACATGGATGAGAAATAGTGGTTTAAAACTTTATGATAAAGATTTCAATAAACGTAGTTTCGTAATGAAACACTGTCATAGTTGAAATTGGGTTGGTATTAGAAAGTAAAACTATTTCTTTTTTTTTGTACATAAGAAATATCTTTGGACTTCCAGAGAAAATTGCAGGGACAGTTAATCCAGCTGGTTCTTTATGCCGATTATTTTATTCATTTTTCATGTACACGTGAAGTCTTCAAGTATGTTTGTAACTTATGCTTTATTTAAACATTTCATTCTAGGTTATTCTCAGTTTTGTTTTGTTTTTTTTCCCACAATTTAAAACAAATTCCAACCATTCTCTAAATATATTTTGTCAGTCAATCTGGAATTGACAGTAGCTGAAGGATACAGTCAAGGAAGGTTAAGATTTACTGTAAAACAGGGTAGTGATATTGTTGAAAGTTTGCCATTAACTAGCCCTGGGGAAGCAAGGTGGATTTTCACAGATCATCTACTAGCAATTTTTCTATTTTAGTTATATTTTTTGTCATTATTAGCTGCTGTTGAGTCGATTCCAACTCAGAATGATCCCATGTGTTACAGAGAACTGTTCCATAGGGTTTTCTTGGATGTAATCTTTAGGGAAGCAGATTGCCAGACATTTTCTTCCGTGTGCAAATTGCCAACCTTCCAGTTAGCAGCTCATCACAAATAGCTTGAGCCTTTAGAGGTCAGCATTTAACATTACAGTAGATTTGGTTACTACCTTGTCTAATGCCTCTGTTTATTTTGATTCTCTCTGCATGGAGCACCCTTCTACCCTCATCCTTCATTACAACCCTCCCCCTCTTTGAATGCTTCTCATCATTTAGGTTTGCTCCTTCTAGAGGAAATGTTCATAGACCACTGCAGCCAATATTTTACCATCTCTTAACTCCCATACCACTTATAACACTTATTCGGCACTTAATCATAGTCATTCATTCACCAAGTATTAACTGAGTGCTGGCTCTACACCAAGCACTCGGTTCTAGATGCTGGCGATACAGCTGTGAAAAAACAAAACAAAATTCCTGCTCTCATGGAACTTTCTTGTGGGGGGAAAGCAGTGAGGGAGATATAAACAACAGATCTGTGTGAAGTGGTCATAATTGCGATGAAGATATGTAAAGCAGGGTATGGACAGTGAGTTTGTTCGTGGAGTTAGCTCTGCTAGATAGTCAGGGAAGAGCTATCTGATCATGTGACATTTGAGTCATGACCCAAAGAAGATGAGAAAGCAAGTCCTGTGAATAGCTGGGAGGAACAGTAAACACATATTCTTACTGGGAGCATGCTTGGCACACTCGGGAGGGTTAGAAGATGGGCTTTGAAGAGTAGCTGTGGACATAAACCATCCAGATCAAGTTCAGTCTTAGGATTTTGAACTTTCATCTGAGTAAGATGGTAAGTCATGAAAGACTTCTGAGCAGAGGAGTGGCATAGTCTGTCACAGGTCTAAAGACTGCTTTAACTGCTAAATGGAAGTAGACTGTACAGAAATAAAAGGGGAAGTAAAAGATCTGTTAGAAAGCCAAGCCAACTGTCCAGTCAGGATTTGATGGTGCTTTATCACACCTCTTTTATTATTAGTTGCTTTATACTGCCATGTGCCTTTTCATGTGGATCTCACAACTTTTTGAGGGCAGGGAGTTTATAATTTATGGATTATATACATGACTATGCATATGCACTTTTAATAGGTGCTTTTGATAAGTAAATGTTGTATAAGTGCTTAACAGTAGTATTAAATCCACTTTATTCTGGTGACAGCATGGCATTTTTGAAAGACTTGTCATTTCCCCTTTAGAACATTGACTTAAAATTCTCTAAGCCTTAGTTTCAACATCTGGGTTAAGGCTTATAAAATGGGCTTGACAAGGTTGCTAAGGAGTCCCTGGGTGGTAGAGACAGTTAAGCGCTCAGCTCCTAACTGAACAAAAGGTTGGGAGTTTGGGCCCTCCCATGGGCCGCTCAGTAGAAAGGTCCTGGCCATCTGCTTCCGAAAAGTCACAGCCATGAAAACCCTATGGAGCACAGTTCTTTCTAGTCTGAAACACACGGGGTTACCATGAGTACTGGTAACATGGTGGCTAAGGATTAAATGAAAATGCCTAGCACTCTTTTCTCTCCACTGCTTAGAGTAGGTGATACCTGCCTCACCCCAATATAACTCCTTGCTTCAATATAAAACACTAATGCTGCCCTTTCTATATAATGCCTGTGAAATTTTAAAAGCTGTACATAACTGACCGGATTCTAACACAACAATCCAATTCATTCCTTTTCTGGGGAGCCCAAACATGTTTTCAAAAATTTTCTAGCTTTGTTACAGGAATCTTTCCTTCCACACCATTTAAGCGTTATCTAAAAACAAGTCATCAGCGATCCGATCTAGGTTTTTACATCGTTGCATCTCAGTGATCTTAACTGTATTCCGAAATGCAGGATAAATGTTTGGGAAAGTTTTGAAGGCTGGTCCTCCAGATCTTGGGCTTATCTTCTGCGCAGTAAGAGGCACTGTCAAAGTAATGTAGGAAGCATTTTGTGACTTTGCAAGGACCGGGCTTGCTGTAGCTACAGGCTGAATTTTAACGCCAGAAGAAACCCAGGTGTTAAAAGAGCCTGGAAGCAGAGATTGGTTGTGATTGTCCCATCTCATTTGCATCAAGTAAGGGGACAGGGCCCCCCGCCCCCAGGGTTTCTGAATCCGGGTCTAACATTCTTCACTGGGCCGCCTCCCCCGATTTCAGCCCAGGGCTATCAACAAGGAAGTCATCTCTCGCGCGGGCATCCATCGAGCCGGAGGTACTCAAGGTTGCATCCGCGGGGACTGAAAAGGCCAGGAACCCGTGGAGCACCGATCGCAGGATGAGAACACTCGACCCGATCGGCCCTCGCCGCGCCCAGGCCATTTTTAGTGAGTAGAAGAGAAACGTGGTCCTCACGCCGCGGTGCCCACCCGAGTTCAGCCCCTCCCGCGCCAGGAGTGGAGAATGCATGCGCGAGAGTAAGCGCACACCCACTCCCCCCAGCGCCCTAGTCTCCGGGATCCGGTGGGAAAAGGACCGGGGGTCGGCGAGAGGGCGGCAGTTGCGGGGGGCGGGAAGGGATGCGCGCCTGCGCATGCGCGCGAGGACACATAGGCGGAAGTGGCGCTCGGCCGCCGGCGATGCAAGCCCCTAAAGAGGAGACGGCCGCGGTGCTGCAAGGTGCAGGAGTAGGAGAGGAGAAGGAGGTGATGGCGCCGGACCTGGGGAGGGGGCGACTCCCCGTCTGGCTGAGGTGCCACCTGGGCTGGGGTCACTCTTCCAGGTGACCCACTGGTTGTAGGGTGGGCGTACACCTGGGGCTCTTCGCCGTGTTTGCCATCCTTCCTTGAACCTGCCCATCTTCCCCAGCCTGAACGAGCAGGAGGGGAGCGAATGTGGTCAGGATGGAGGGGGCGGGCGGTTTCCTTTTATAAAGAATGGAAACCTGCTGGTAGGGTGTCCCAGGAGGACTATCTGCTCATCCTCGCCCGGGTTCCTCTCGTCTACTGAGAGAGCGCCCTCAGGCCCCCAACTCTTGGACTCGGAGGGATGAGAGCCTCCTCCAGCGGGGTCTTTTAGGCATGCCGTGGGCCCTGAAGAACTGTCAGTCGCCTGAATTCTCCAAGACTGTACTTTCACTTGAGAATTACTTCCGGGTTTGCGTTGAATAAGGGCAGTCGACTGGGCTGTACTCCACTGTCCGTTTGACTTGCAGTGGAAGCGGATTATTCTTGCTTGCTTACTAAATTTAGTCATAAATCTCTTCGAAGTTCTGTACACGCAAAACCAGACCCATTGCCATTACGTCGATTCCAACTTTAGCGACTCTCTACGACAGAGTAGAACTGCCCCATAGGGTTCCCGAGGGAAGACCACTGCCACATCTTTCTCCCTCGACCTTTTGGTTAGCAGCCCAGCTCTTAACCAATGCGCCGCCAGGGCTCCTTAGAAGTTTTGCAGGTACCTCCAGTGCATTTCAGCCTAATTCTCCTTCCCCATCTTTTTTTTTTTTTTTTCTTTTAAAAGAATATTGAAAGTAGAAGACGGAATGAATGCTGTGCTAACAATTTCTTTTTTTAGTGTTGTGCATGTGCATTTCTTTTACAGTAGGATTTCAGACATCTAAAATTGTTTTTTAATTAAATGTTTTTGTAAGTGAATTGGGATAGTTTGGAACTTGGAAGAAAGAGATAAAACCAGTGCTTAAAAATAATTTTTTTTTTGTTAGGTGCCTTCACGTCAGTTCCGATTCGTAGGTACGTTATGTATAACAGAAGGAAATGTTGCCAGTCCTGTGCCATCCTCACAATCATTTTTATGCTTGAGCCCATTGTTGCAGCCACTGCGTCAATCCAACTCATTGAGAGTCTTCCTCTTTTTCACTAACCCTCTACTTTACCAAACATAATGTTCTTCTCCAGGGCCTGGTCCCTTCTGATAACATGTTTAAAGTCATCAGACAAAGTCTTGCCATCCTCGCTTCTAAGGAGCATTCTGGCTGTACTTCTTCTGAGACGTATTTGTTCTTCTGGCAGTTCATGGTATATTCAGTATTCTTCCCCAGCAACATAATTCAAAGTCATCAATTCTTCTTCTGTCTTTATTCATTGTCCAGCTTTTACATGCATATGAAGCGATTGAAAATACCATGGCTTAGGTCAGTTACACCTTAGTCCTCAAAGGACATCTTTGCTTTTCAACACTTTAAAGAGGTCTTTTACAGCAGATTTGCTCAATGCAGTGTGATGTTTGATTTCTTGACTGCTGTTTCCATGGGTGTTGATTGTGGATCCAAGTAAAATGAAATCCTTGACAACTTCAGTCTTTTCTCTGTTTATCATGATGTTGCTAATTGGTTCAGTTGTAAGGATTTTTGTTTTCTTTATGTTTTCTTCAAGGAAAAGTTAAATCTCTGTGTTGACTTTAGGAAAAGGCATCAGGCAAATTATTTGCACCTTGGGAGCCCTGGTGGCACAGTGATTAAGAGCTGGGCTGCTAACCAATAGTTTGGCAGTTTGAATCCTTGAGGTGCTCCTTGGAAACCCTATGGGGCAGTTCTACTCTGTCCTGTAGGGTCACTGTGAGTCGGAATCGATGCGACAGCAATGGATTTTGGTACGGGTAGTTTTTTTTGTTTTGTTTTTGTTTTTTAATACTTTAAGGGTTACTGTGAACTTTTATAAAGCAAAATGAAAAAAAGTGTTGATCATTGAATTCGAAAACTAAATTCCATGCTTGATTTTTTTTCCCCTGCAGTAACAACAGCTTTGGCCCAGTTTCTTTATATGATAGCTAATATCAGTCATTAATGTTTGAAATGGAAGGGATATGGCAAACATTAGGCATCACAGTTATTGGGTATCAGAGGTTGCATTGCCTTCCTGTCATCAGTCACACAGTCGGATCAGTGATAGGAAAAAAGTATGTTCTGATTAGTAAAATAAAATTGCATTCTAAATGCAAAGCTCTTAAGGGCAGATTTTGTGGTGCTGATGTCTCCCCACCCATAACCCATTGCCGTAGAGTTGTTGCTGACTCATAGCGACCCTAGAGGACAGAGTAGAACTGCCCTGTGGGGTTTCTAAGGCTGAAATCTTGCGGAAGCAGACTGCCACATCTTTTTCCCACAGAGTGGCTGGTGGGTTTGAACCACCAACCTTTTGGTTAACAGAAGTGTGCTTAACTAATGCACCACCAGGGCTCCTGCTGGTGCCTCAAGTAAGCAGAAAAAAGAATTTATTTCCATGTTTATTTCAGATGCTTTGTGAGGAATTTCAGTAGAAATGTCAGTATTTTGGCAGAGATGTCCCATAGGTGATGGTGCTGGCGGGTCTTAACTCTGCTTGTCTGGCGTAAGATTTCCAGCAGGTGTGTGGGAAGTGGCAGAATGTTGGAGAGGAACAGAAAAATGTTGGTTAAGTGATATTTAACCTCTTAAACTTTTGTCATGTGCTAGAACATAATAGGAAGATGATATCATCTCTTCCCTTAAGGAATTCATAAGCTTGTAGGAGAAGCACAAGTGAAAACAAAAAAGTGATACCATTGTAATTTAAGGTATTGGAAAAAAATATGTGTGGAGTCCGTAGGCAGTGCAAGTGGTTAGTGCACTTGGCTGCTAACCAAAAGGTTGGAGGTTCCAGTCCACCCAGAGGCACCTTGAAAGAGCGTGGTTCTGCTCTGATGCATGGAGTCGCCATGGGTCAGAGTTGATTTGCCAGCAGCTGGTTGTATAATATGCTATGAGAGTCTAGGGGATCAACCAGTTTTTAACTTACACAGTGTTAAGCAAGAGTGCAGCATGGTCAGAATTCTTGTTCAGCCGTGTGAAAGATGGGTCAGAAAGAGGAGAAGGTTGATAGGCAAGCAAGTCTAGTAATCTAGGCAAGAGAAAATAACTGCTTGATGGTAGTGTCGGAAACAGATTGTAGACTGGAAATAGAATCAGCAGGAATCTTGGCAAGCTATAGAACATGAAGGAAAGAGTCTAAGATAGCACTCAGACTTTCAGCTTTTGTGTCTGAGTTTAAAAGTAGATACCGTTAAACGAGATTGGGAATATAGGAAGAAGAGCAGGTTTGTTATGACGGGAAAATAGAGTTCAGCTTTGGACATTTTTAATATGAGGTGCCAGTAGAGTCCATGACTAGAGGTTATCAAAAGAAGCATTTAAAAATATAGATCTGGATCTCAGAAATCTGGTTGGAAATCCAGAGCTATATTCCCAAGCTCAAAACAGTTAAATAATTTGTTCAAGGCTCCTCAGCTAATAGGTAGCAAAGCCAGGTCTTGAGCATAGATCTGTCAAAGTTCCAAAGCATGGGGAAAGCACCATGCTAAACTACTTTGTCATAATATTAACTATGAGTTTATTGAGTCATTAAAATATACCAGGCATTGTGCTAAATCACAAACATTACTTATTTGAAAAAGGTAGTTTTGGGGGAAGGGTTATCTGCTAGAGACATTTTTTTGATACCAGTAAAAGTAGAAAAGAGAGATCTTCTAGAACTTTTGTTTATATATGTGTGTAAATATATTATCATTACTTATATCTTTCTCCCAATCTCTGTTTTCAATAAGATTTGCAGTTTTGCCCACAAAGTTTGCACTATTGCCACAATACTTTTGAAAAATCATACCCAGGCAGAGCGTGCCTGGTTACAGGCTGAGGCTTGAGGGCATTCAGAGGAAGGACCCATTGATTTGGTTCATCTGAGTATTGGGTGCAGAGTTTATGCTAGATTTGAGTCATGCCTTTCAAGTTCTATTTTCTCCCTACTGGTGGAATTAGGGAGGGTGTCACAAAAGAGGGAACATTAAAGCTGATCTTCAAAACCTAATCTGGAAGAAGACAGGCTGAAAGAACAGCATGGACAAAAGGCAGGGGTGTTTGAAAGTTCATGGTGTACTTGAGTAATGAAGTCGTAGGCTACTGTGGCTGGGGTAGGACTTGACTGAAAGAAGTGGAGGGAGAGGAAGGTTAAAAACCTTTGTGGGGCCAGATTTATTTGAATGCTACTCTATACCTATCCCTACACATCTGGAAAACAGCTGTTAAGGTTTTTTCTAAATTCAAACACAGGTTTGATTAAATGGTGTGGTGGTGATTGTTAGCTGTCTTCAAGTCAGCTCCAATTCACAGCGACCTTACATATAACAAATGAAACATTGTCTGGTCTGTGCCATCTTCCTGATCAGTGGTATGTTTGAGTTCATTGTACATCTCTTGTGTCAGTCCATCTCATTGAATTTCCCTCGTTTTTGCTGAGGTTAAGGGGCGTAATTTAATGTGTAGGAGTCCCTGGGTGGTGCAAATGGTCAAGCGCTCGACTACTAGCCGAAAGGTTGGAGGTTGGAACCCACCCAGACGCGCCTTGAAAGACAAGCCTAGCGATCTGCTTCTGAAAGGTCACAGCCTTGAAAACCCTGTGGAACACACTTCTACTCTGTGGCAGCTAACAACAACTTCGTATGTGTGGTTTATAAAGAAAATCAAATTTTGAGAGTACTCTACAAGATGACTTTACTCAGGGATGAGAATGATCAGAACATAGTGTGATAAATAAGAACAATGCATGAAAGAAGAAACAGGGAAAGAAAAAAAAGAGCAAAACTACGCATTTTCTGTTTAGAAACAACAGCAGGTGCCCTGTAAAACAATAATTTTTTTTTTTTTTTGATGCCTGAGTATTGTTTGTTATAATTTGTCTTCAAAATCTTGACTCCAAATTTGAATTACTGACGAGGGCCTAGTTAATCTCTGTCAATCTGCAAATTTGAAGTGATCAAGAAGAGGTTGACTCTGATTCTTACCATTTAAACCATCACATGACAGTTTCATTTAAAAAGATTTCCAGAGAAGCTTTACAGTCAAAACTATCCTTATCTATCTTCAGCCCTTAGCTGGAGCCCAAATTTAGTTCCCACTGGAATTGTGACAGAGAGTCAGTCTTTTCTAGGGAAATAGTTTTCTCTTCATAGGTTTGTTCTCTTTAATTGTCATAATTCATCAGTCTTTCCTCAACCTTTATGTGGAATTCTTTTTTTAGGTTTATATATATACAAAGAAAAATTGATAATCATCTGTGGTGCCAACATAATTTTTTTTCACAGACTGGCAAAGAATGATAAGTTTTTCGGCTTTTTATAATCCCAAAGATGTTTTAAATTAAAATAATTTTATCCAAAGAAAGAAAACTTTTCCTTAAATCTAAGAGAAGCTTATTACTGGAACATATTAATATTTAAAGAGCATCTGCTGTTCTTTTCTTTACTGCAATTAAAGATTGACTTTGATATTGAGGACCCGAACCCGTTGCTGTTGAGTTGATTCCGACTCATAGCGGCCCTAAGGGACAGAGTAGAATTGCCCCATAGAGTTTCCAAGAAGCACCTGGTAGATTCGAACTGCTGACCTTTTGGTTAGCAGCCCTAGCTCTTAACCACTACGTCACCAGGGTTTCCAGTAATGTTGAGGACAGTATGCATAAATTATTGTGGGATTTAAAATTATGTATTTACTACATATAAAAAACATAAAGACATGTTTACTTTGAAATATGAAATACTAGGTTAGCTTTTTGTCTGTTGCTATAGAAATAAGTATAGTATATATTTAATTTAGTGATTTATTGGTGTTTATCAGGTGCAGATAAATTGTTTAGAGAGTAGACATACTGTTTTTGGTGGATTGAAAGCTTGAATATATTAATACCTGGAGAGAATGAAACTTGTCTGTGTAATTTTATGTTGTGATTTGGTCAGCCTACAGGCTGAGAAAAAATTTTTGGCTACGACAAATCCGATCAGGTTCTAATCTCTAAAATCTGCAAGATACTGCAAAACCTCAACAACAAAAAGACAAATAACCCTATTAAAAAATGGGCAAAGGATATGAACAGGCGCTTCACCAAAGAAGACATTCAGGTGGCTAACACACTCGTGAGGAAATGCTCATGATCATTAGCCATTAGAGAAATGCAAATCAGAACTACAACGAGATACCATCTCACTTAGCATTAATCCAAAAAATACAAAATAGTAAATGTTGGAGAGGTTGTGGAGAGACTGGAACCCTTATATACTGTTGGTGGGAATGTAAAATGGTACAACCACTTTGGAAATCAATTTGGCTCCTCCTTAAAAAATTAGAAATAGAAGTACCATATGATCCAGCAATCCCACTCCTTAGAATATATCCTAGAGAAATAAGAGCCACGAATAGATATATGCATACCCATGTTCATTGCAGCACTGTTCACAATAGCAAAAAAATGGAAACAACCTAGGTGCCCATCAACAGACAAATGGATAAATTACGGTATATTCACACGATGGAATACTACGCGATGATAAAGAACAACGATGAATCTGTGAAACATAACATGGATAAATCTGGAAGGCATTATGCTGAGTGAAATCAGTCAGTTGCAAAAGAACAAATATTGTATGAGACCACTATTATAAGAACTCAAGAAAAGTTTAAACGCAGAAGAAAACATTCTTTGATGGTTACAAGAGTGGAGAGGGAGGGAGAGGGGTATTCGCTAACTAGATAGTAGACAAGAATTATCTTAGGTGAAGGGAAGGACAGCACACACTACAGGGAAGTCAGCACAACTGGACTAAACCAAAAGTGGAGAAGTTTCCTGAATACAACCAAACACTTCGAGGGACACAGTATCAGGGGTGGGGGTCTGGGGACCATGGTTTCAGGGGACATCTAGGTCAATTGGCATAACAAAGTTTATTAAGAAAATTTTTTGCATCCCACTTTGGTGAGTGGCATTTGGGGTCTTTATAAAAGCTAGCAAGCAGTTATCTAAGATATATCAATTGGTCCCAACTCACCTGGAGTAAAGGAGAATGAAGAACACCAAAGATACAAGGAAAATAATAGCCCAAGAGACAGAAAGGGCCACATAAACCAGAGACTCCATCAGCCTGAGACCAGAAGAACTAGATGATGCTTGGCTACCACCAATGACTGTCCTGCCAGGGAACACAACAGAGAGTCCCTGATGGAGCAGGAGAAAAGTGGGGTACAGAACTCAAATTCTAGTAAAAAGACCTGACTTAATGGTTTGACTGAGACTGGAGGGACCCCAGAAGACATGGCCTCCGGACTCTCTGTTAGCCCCAAACTAAAACCATTCCTGAGGCCAACTCTGCAGACAAAGATTAGACTGGACTATAAGACATAAAATGGTACTCATGAAGATTGTGCTTAGCTTAAGTAAATACATGAGACTAAATGGGCAGCTCCTGTTTGGAGGCGAGATGAGAAGGCAGAGAGGGTCAGGAGCTGGTTGAATAGACTCAGGCAGGGGTGGAAAGGACGAGTGTGCTGTCACAGTATAGAGAGAGCAACTAGGGTCACATAACAATGTATGTGTGAATTTTTGTATGAGAAACTAACTTGAATTGTAAACTTTCACTTAAAACACAATAGAAAAAATAATTTTAAACTGTGATTTGGAGTATTATTTAGAGCATACTGTTTTACTCTGTGGTCTGAATGTTTTGCTTTAATTGCTTATTTCCTTTCTCTAGGACGTGAGTCAGCAAGCGAAAGAAAGACTGAACAAAACAGGAAATCGGCAAGATAACCTTGGAAGCACTGGATGCAGCAAAATAAGAACAATGGATCTCAAGTTCAACAACTCCAGGAAGTATATTTCTATCACCGTCCCTTCCAAAACCCAAGCAATGTCACCACACATCAAGTCAATAGATGACATCGTGGTCCTTGGCATCAATCTCAGCAGATTTAACAAACTTACTCAGTTTTTCATATGTGTTGCCGGGGTTTTTGTATTTTACCTAATTTATGGATATTTACAGGTAAAAAAAAAATGGTCATGTGGTTGTAATGTGTTCATTATAACAGTTGAGGTCACTCTGTGAGTCAGAACTGACTGAACAGCAATGGGTTTGGCTTTTTTGTTTGTTTTTATGGGCCAGACTTTAAGCACTTTGTCATAGTTTTGCGCAAGATACTTTACTTTATAGGGTCCAGTTTATAAATGATTTTGTTTAGTACAGGAGTAGAAAAAGGCTTCTTTAAAGTAAGTGAAAACAGAAACCAAAATTTCAGAGTTATGTGTTTTTAAGTGTGTATGTGGGTGTGGGAGAGAGCAGAGACTTTATTTTGAAAAACTAGAATTATGAAAATAAAAATTTTAATGTATTTAACAAAATATAGGTAATATTGAAACCATGTATTAGTTTTTAAAAGAAATTTTAAAGAGTGATTTAAGTATTGGTAAGTATTTTGGAGCATACTTTTCTAATAAAGTTGAATTTCAGCATAAAAGTCATATTTCAGTTCACAGTTGATTTTTGGAGCTCAATAATAGAAGATCATTTTTATAAAAATATATCAAGATATTTTATATTTTTCCAAGGATGTCTCTTTCATCCTGTTATATTCAATTTATTCTTTTTTTTTAAAATATGCACATTATGTTCTGTTTCCTGTTTGTTTTCTCTTCTAATTTAACTTTACAAGACCTTATTTTTTATAATTTCTGCCTGTGCAAAACATTTTTTAAATTGCAGCAGTTTGTATCATACATACATGGCAGTATGAAATAATTATATACCTTTGACTAGCAGCAAAGTCCTGATGGAAAGACAGGGGCTACCTAAGTGAAGAGCCACACTAGTGTAAATAGGAAGGCTTGAATGGGGGTGAATTTTATCAATGGTTTGTTTATTAATGATTATTTTTAGCCCTTATCAACTTCACCTTTAATGAACCTTCTTAACACAGGGAACCGTTGTATTTGAAGAAAAGGAAAGTAATGTATTTTGTTAAAACACAGATTCTATTTCAGGTATTCTTTAGTATTAGAGTTATCTTAGAACTTACACTTTTTCATTGCCTTACAGATATTGAATATAAAAGTAAGTGTAAATAAAAATGAAGATAGAATTGTGACTTTATTTCTTAGTTAGCTGGCAAGAATTCACAGAGTATTAGTGTAAAACAAATCAAAGCATGAATTTAAAATCTTTGTAGTAACTTATTTCCCCACTAGAAGATGATATAAAAATTGAGATATCACAGTAAATGACATAATAATTTGTCAAATAAAGTTGAAGTTTCTTGCTGAGAAACATTTTTGTCCTTAAGAAAACACTACTACTAAATAGCTTGGGACCAAAGAGCAATTGTAAAAGAAAAGGAGTTGGAAATTGACCCTACATGTTTTGCTGAATTTTTTTTCTCTATTTGATTAATGATCAGAGATTTTAATTCCTAATTGGTATACACCCAGTTTCTTTTAAAACTATGTAAATTATTAGTAATTGTTTTTGTGTAACATTACTACTTTCAGTTGGTGAAAATTGACATTCCTACTGTTACATACACTTACATATTAAAACAGTTCAAAGAAAATAACCTGGGTTTGTTAATAAATTAGTTCTATATACCAAAAAAAAAAAAAAGAGAGAAAAAAACCAGTTGCCGTTGAGTCAGTTCCGACAGTGGTCAAGAGTTACGGTGAGCTATGGCTGCTAACCAAAAGGTCGGCAGTTCAGATCCAGCACTACTTGGAAACCCTGTGAGGCAGTTCTACTCCGTCCTATAGGGTCTGTATGAGTCACTATGAGTTAAGTTCTATATAGTGGGATGTTTTTCTGAATGCCAAAATACTAGAACTACAGTAAAACCTGTGAAAGCCAGAACCTGTGTAAGGGGAAGGCCTGTCAGAAAAGGAAAACTGAAATATTTTCCACTAATAGTGTTAGAAAATACTGCACCCTATCAAAGGCGGAAAACTTGCAAGGCCCAGAAAAACAAGGCAGCCCCATCAAGTTCTGGCTCACAGATTTCACTGTATTTTCATCCTGAATACCTTGCAGACTTAATTGAACATAAGATTTAACAATTTGGGGAATTGTATGGCACCTCAAATGTACAAAATCTATTTCAGGATCTGTTTAGAAGCTATGTTAGTTTTTCTTTGAAAAGAAATTTATCCAAAAATTTCATCTTTGAAATTTTTTTTAAAATACAGTTGCAACATATGTGGGTAAGACAAATTTAGTGAGAAATTTGAATTCCAGCTCCAGTTTTTCATCAAGTTGATTCCTACTCATGGCAACCCCACGGATGTCAGAGTATTACTGTGCTCCATAGGTTTCTAATGGCTGACTTTTTGGAGGTAGATTGCCAAGGAGCCTCCCGGTGAACTTGAACCTTTAACCTTTCAGTTAGCAGCAGAGCACATTAACTGTTCACACCACCCAGGGACAAGTTTGAATTACTCAATTAAAATTTAGTCAGATAACTTTATTAGACTAACTTTTAAGGACTTAACTAAGAATGACTTATCTTTAACAATTGATGTAAATGTAACTTCATGATAAATTGTTTAGCCAAATTAGCCATTCTCTTTACAAGGAGAAGTGTTATATAAATCAGTGGCATAGAATTTTGAAAAATAACCTCAATTATCAATTTGAGTTGGTTATGTTGTTCCTATAGAAAAACAGGCCTCAGATGATAGACTTCTAATGAAATAAGTTTTTTTTTACAGTAAATGAGTTCTCGAACCAGCCACTTTTCTCATTGCTTTGGCAACTCTCAGTTTTGGTCTTTTGAAAAAAGAAAAATCGTAGAATAGTGTTGCCTCATAGCTATCCCTGCCCCCTTTATTTTTCTGCTTTTCTGATTTTTTATGCCTGGGTATCAAAGGTCCCAGCGTTGAAAACCCCATGAAGCAGTTGTACTCTGCACACATGGAGTCGCTCTGAGTCAGAGTCAACTCGACAGCAGCTAACAGCAGCAACATCAAGTGCCAGTTCCTTGGAGGAGGGTTCTACTGCCTTCTGTAATTTATTTCTCTGAAGCTTCGTGCTTTGTTTTTGTGTTTTGTTTGGACGGGGGTTTGGTGTCTCTTCTAAATTGTGTTTATAGAAATTTATTGTTACGGGAAAATTGGTCTTCCCCTTGAACTTTAACAGTATTCATGTATCTTTTGACAGGAATTAATATTTTCAGTGGAGGGTTTTAAGTCCTATGGCTGGTACCTTACGTTAGTGCAGTTTGGGTTTTACTCCATATTTGGCCTGATAGAACTTCAGCTTATTCAGGACAAAAGGAGAAGGTATGTGGTTTGTGTTTATTTTTTGTTAATAAATTCACTAGTAGTTCATTCTTTTTTTTTTTTTTTTTTATGTTTTGGCATACAGAGTCTATTATGTGTATGATTTACATTTCTCATTATCAAAACATACTTAATACCCAATAATTTTTATTAGCAGGCTAAGTTTTTTTTAAAATATTTAAGATTGTATTTTCTTTATTTATGTCCTGAAAAAAGTGAGGCCTCTCTTTAAGTATAATATTACCAAAAAATAAAAAGTATTAATTCAGGCTCAATTTATGGTAAGATATATTTTCTTGAAACATGAAAATACTTCAATGTATATATGTTTTTATAAATTGCACCAAAATATGTGTGATTATTGAAAGATTACTAATGCTACTGATACTAAAGTAGTGAAATGAGTACTTATTTTTACAGTTGTTTTTAAAATGTGTAGTTAACGTTTTATTTCGTATGATGTATTCCAACTAATATTGCCATATTTTTCATGTCCAGTAGCTAAGACTACATTTTTAAATATTAGGGGAACACATTTAATAGCATTTCTTTTCATCAAAACCAAAAGAGCTTGTTTATTGATGTCTTTTAAATTAGCAACCATCTAGATTTATGGAATATCTAAATATTTTTAATGGAATATAAAATAATATGTGATTAAAGTATATAGTCTCTGATTATAAATGATGATTATAAAGGTGGTTAGATATTTTAATATAAAATATTCTTGGGAAATGTAAGAAGTGTAGTTATCCTGTCATATCACACCCTAATATGTAACTATTTCATATACGTATTGAGCAGTTTAAATGTAATACAGAGCTATAATACCAAAATCCTGCCTCCACTGACAGAAACGTTTAATCTTTCAGTGAAAATAAACTTTTTTCACAGCTACTTTTTTTTTTAACATAAAATGGTTTTCATGTTTCTACGAAGATAATTGTGAAATTTTAAATATTTAAATCTAATGCCAGTGTCTCTTCATGGGTCTAATGTTACCTCCCATCCACTCTTTATTGCACGTAAGATATTATAGCAGCAATAGTAGAAAAGTTTGAATCTGAGGTTATCTTCATGATTTTCTTGCTCTGAAATACTACAGGATTTAGCCATAGGTGATAGAATAGGAAGTAACTGAATACATCTGCCAAGACTTACATATAAACAATCGTGAAGACTCATTACTTATTGCAAATTAGGGGGCCTCTGATACTGGTAGCCCTAAGCCGCAAGTCTGTGAATAGTCAGTCTGTGGGAAAAAAAAAATTATGACAGCACCATGGATGATTATCCGTTTCACTTTGGGTTTATATAAGCCTAAAAAAAAGAATTCCGTGTAAAGATTGATGAAAGACTGGAGAATTATGACAAACCTACAAAGTGAAAAGTGATACAGAGATAATGCATCTTCCGTTAAGTTTCAGAAAGAAACACCTCGCTGTCAGCTACCCAAATGAGATGGGAGTAGGCCCAAACCTTGTTTATCTCAACTTTTAAACCACTTGACCATACATATTTAAAAATAAAATCATTTGTGTTTGCTTTAAACATAAGTGAAGACTTACAATAAATATTATTATGAATTGAAACCTTTTCATTTCAAGGCACATTAAAAACCTTTTTTTAAAAAAGTCTTTAAAGTGTGTTACCCATGGGGTCTCCATGAGTCAGAATCATCTCAACAGCAACGAACAACAATAAGCAATGAAAACAGTCCCAATCACATAATCTCATTTGTGCATTTATCTGTTAAAGTGGCCCTGCTGTTTGGACTTTTATCTAGCTAGAGCCTTTGCATAGTTTTTTTCTTTCTTCTTAGATTCATATGAATACTAGTGTAGCTGAAAGAGTATAGGATTCAGAGTCAGAAAACATGAGTTTGGGTCTTGGTACTGCCCCTCATTAGCTCTGTCAAGACTCTCGGGGAGTTTGTTCAGTTTTCCAACTCTGAGTTTTATTTTGGGGATCAAATGTAGCAACATGTGATAAAGCATATTTATAAGCACATTGTAAACTGTGATACCCCAAATACACTGCTTGTTGTTTTTACCAAAGATTACCTTGCAACTTTATTATTTATTACTTTAGGTGAGTTTTTAATGAAGATCTTTCACATTGCTTTCGAAGGGAATTTTCCCAGCGTTTTAAAGATGTAAACAATTGGAGTATTAAGTAAAATGGAAACAAGAATCGTACAAGCGAGATAGTGGAATCTAACTTCCTCATTTTACCAACGGAAAACAAAGACCTACAATAGTGCTGGGATTTTCATGAGCTTATATAGCAAGTTGCTTTCAGAGTTGGAACCTTTTGAATTCAGGACTTCTGTGTTTTAGGCTGGTTTTCTTTCTGTAATCAGTTGCTGTCAAGTTGACTCTGACTCATGGCAACCCCATGTGTGTCAGAGAAGAATTGCGCTCCATAGGGTTTTCAGTGGCTGATTTTTCAGAGGCAGATTGCCAGGCATTTCTTCTGAGGCACCTCTGGGTGGACTTGAACCTCCAACCTTCAGTTAGCAGCCAAATGCATTAACCTAAGGATCATTCCTTGTGATTTTTCTGACTTGAATTTTTATTTCCTACTATTATTTGCTATTTATCTATGAGGAAATTTGACTGCTGACTTAGATCATGACCTGGGGAAGTAGTGCAATCTTACTTCACCTGCAGTACACCACTGAGGGTTAAACCCCACAGAGAGCATTCAAGTGCGTTAGTACAGGCATGCCAAACTATTTGTAGACTACTGTATTAGTAGTTAGAAAAGGCCTCAAAATTGAAAGGCAAGTATAAATGATGCATTCTAATTTTATTTTTCCAGTAAATTATTTTACCTCCCATCTGGCCCTATACAAGATATGAAGGAATTTGTTTGTCTTGATTTAAACATTAACACAGATCCCAGAATGGAAATTAGATCTAAGTGTACAGCATACTCAGACTATGGGAATAGTGCTTCTTGCGTTAGTCACGCCAATGTTCAGGGTTATTATTGTACACCACTAAATATCCAGTCAAGGTGAGCATAGAATCACAATTATGGCTGAAAATCCCGAAGATGCCAAATGAAGAATCTCCATTAGGAAGTCCAGGTAGAAGCAGTGTAGAGGGCTCGGGATCAGGAGAAGCATGAGATTGTTCATCACTCATTACATAGAACACAGAATTCACGACGGCTTGTAAGATAGCTGTGGTAGTGCAAACCTCACCTGGGCTTTTAGACCACATTTACTTTTTCTAGAGAAATTCCACTCAGGTTATTCCAGCAGAATGGACAGATTTTTCCTAATGCTAGATGGAAACATTAGGAAACAGAACAACAATTTCCAAGTTAAAAATTAGTCAGGGCTCCTTGTACAATTATAGAGGCCAATATTTATAAAATTCAACTCTTTTTTTTTTCTTCCCCTCCTTGAATTTAGTCAAGATAGGTTTTGTTTGCAGCTAGAACAGCTTTTTTTTTTTTTTTTTTTTAAATCTTTTTATCAGCATTTGTGCCTTCAGGGAGAATCTAAGTGACTCTCTCTAATGTATCATTTTTCACACAGTTGAGAGTTCTCATTTATGATAGATTAAAAAAGGTAAATTATTATTTTTGCCAGTGTTCTTTTATACATGTAAATAGTGTTATAACTGGAAGAATAATGATATTCTTACTAGTATTTCTAGAAACATTAACCAGAAAGTGGAAAAGTAATTAGATATTTACACCTTGTAAATACATGATCTTAAAATAGTATAAATTGGGTCTCAAAATGAAGATTTTAAAAATTGTCTTTTACAGAATACCAGGAAAAACCTACATGATAATAGCTTTTCTAACTGTGGGTACTATGGGGTTATCAAACACTTCCTTGGGCTACCTGAATTATCCTACCCAAGTCATCTTCAAGTGCTGCAAATTGATTCCTGTTATGCTAGGAGGAGTTTTTATTCAAGGTATTGTAATGATATATTTTCATATTGTTTGAAACTCAGAGGATCTGTTATGGCATCTAGCATTAGGAAAAACAAACTTTTGATTCATAATTTTAATGAGTCTTCTAGATACTAGAAAAATTCTGAGTGATGTCTTATAAAAATAAGATATTGTTTAAACACTGATACCTCTGTGATATGCATCAGTATCTGAAAGCAGTAATTAAACTCATGAATAATAAAAAATAATGCTTTATTAGTTTATTCTTTTAATATTGGAATCGACCACAATTCCAAAAAATAATGCATTCACACTTTGAAGGTCCACCTCAGAAGTGCCTGGAAAGCTCCTTTTTTCAATTCTTCTTTCTACTCTTCAGGGCTCCCCTCTCTACCTCCATTATAAAAATGGACAATTCTCGTATTAAAGTTAAGGTTAACCTGAGCAGAGCTGCTTTTCTACCAACCTTGCTGGCTTGTTGACTTCTGAGAGCTCAGCTAAGTTGCAAGCTGTGTGGAAACATGAATAAATAAAAGAGAAGACAGCAATAGCAACAAGCTTTGGAACACCTCTTTGTTGTTGTGTGTATTAACCGTCATGGGGAGTATTCGTGTGTTGGTAATTGAGTGTTTCTATGTTACTGAAGTTCTTAAGACAGCCTGACTTCCTTTTATGTATTAAATGCCTTCTCAAATTAAGCTTTTTAAAATGGGAAGTGTGTATGTCAACTGCTTCATATATAATTTCAAGATAACTGTTCACAGAGGAAAAAATATTGAGCCCAGTACCTACAAAAATCACTTTTGAACATCTTAACTGACTGGGCATACATCCATACAATCCTTACAAAAAATTATACTACATGATTTCATTTTTTAAAATGTAGATATACCAAAATGCAGATCATTGACCTACCTAGATGTTGTCTGTTATTTGCAAAGTTTTATAGCCTGAATCATTAATCTGGTTATTTTGTGCGCTTACAAAAAGCAAGAAAATTTATTGTCTTGTATTTTACAGAGAGTAGAATAGTTAATTACCATGAAATTTTTAAATACTTGTGGATGCCCATTATTCTTAGACCATTTACTCACTGAAATAACAGATAATCTTAAGAGTATGTCATATCTAATACATAAGGACATGTGACTGTCTCAGGCCTTGACATAAGTGTTCTTGGTGTTTCTTTGTGTATTTTTTACCTTGGATATAAAAAGTAGATCCCCATTCTACCTGGTTAAACACGTGGATTTAAACTGCTTGGTGGGTATTTGCATAGTGGAGTTGACTGAGGTTTGTTTTATGCAGGAAAGCGATACAATGTGGCAGATGTGTCTGCTGCGGTATGTATGAGCCTCGGCCTAATATGGTTTACCTTGGCTGACAGCACAATTGCGCCAAACTTCAACCTAACAGGTAAGGAATTTACTTCTGTTGCTCGGTTTTATAGGCATTTTGGTTTAGAGTAAGAATTTTTTAAATTTCACAAAGAATTTAAATGATGGTGTGATATTGTGATTCTCAGATCCAACATAAAGCTTTCAAGCTTCCCATATAAAAGTAGTAAAAATATCAACAACTCTGGAAATACAGTAATTGTTTTTAGTACTCTTGCATCTTGACAAGAGGCTGTTTGCCAAGTCAAAGTCTTCGATTATCAAGTACGTACATGATAAATTAATTTCTTATGAGTTAAATTGGAAATGTGCACATGAATTATAGGGGAATCAGAGTAGTGATTGTTTTTATTCTCATGTTTTAAAGAAAAACTTTGAAACTTGTACATTTACATGTCATTGTTTTAGCTAAAGAAGGAACACTATGCTGTGCTTTAAGATTAAATATAAATATGTCAATAACCTTAAAGCGCTTAAGGCTTACAACAGAAATAATTATCTCCGTAGAAAACGCCATAGAATTTTGTAAATCAAACTTAGATTTTTCCAAAGCAGATTAGATACTGCAGTATATTTAGAAATAAGTAACCTGTTGCCATCGAGTCGAATTTTTTATTATATGTACAGTATTGTCGTTCTGAATTATTGAAAGTTACAGTTTTACTCATAAGATTATTTTAGTGTCATATATCCTGTCTCCTAGCCTGACAGAAATAGTATTTAAAATATCTCACTATAATGTCTGCTATAACTTAAGTGCTCACCCTTTCTGAGTTTTCATGGTGCTAACACTATCACCAGTGTGCCTGTTAGAACTGGTTTGTGGATAAGAATACTTTAAGATCTGTTTTTGTTTGTTTTTTTAAGGGACTCTAGTTGTGCAGGGCGTAAGCACTCAGCTGCTGACCGAAAGGTCGGCGGTTTGAACTCACCAGCCACTCCACGGGAGAAAGATAATGGCAGTCTGCTTCTGTAAGGATTTACAGCCTTTGGAACCCTATGGGGCAGTTTTATTCTGTCCTACAGGGTCACTATGAGTCGAAATCGACTCGACGGCCATGAGTTTGTTGTTTTAGGTATATTTCTGATAAAACTTGATTATAGTTCATATGTTTAAATAAGAAGGGTTTTTTTTTTTCTTTATACGTTCTTGAAGGCGTGATCCTTATTTCCCTGGCACTATGTGCAGATGCTGTCATTGGAAACGTCCAAGAGAAAGCTATGAAACTGCATAATGCTTCTAATTCGGAAATGGTAAATACATTAGTGTTCTTTCTTCACATCCGACAGACTCAAAAATAGTGATAGACTTAATTTTATGAAATAGTTATGGTACTGAAAACTTGCATTTCATTTTTAAACAAGTGTATCATCACTGTTGTAATAAAAGCAATGCGTTCACACATTACAGGGAGCCACAAAGCAAATATACCCCTACTAAGAGATTATAGGAGCCCTGGTGGCGCACTGGTGGCGCAGTGGTTAAGTGTTCATCTGCTAACCAAAAGATTGGCAGTTCGAATCCACCAGCCACTGCTTGGAAACTATGGGGCAGTTCTACTGTGTCCTGTAGTGTCACTGTGAGTTGGAATCGACTCGATGGCAACGGGTTTGGTTTTTTTGAAGAAAAAAATATAAGAAATTTTGTTCTCATTGATTTATAGAATTTTTTTGTATTTTAAAAAATCTTTTATTACATCTTACTTTCCCCCTTGTTTGTATTGGGTATTGTTTTCCACTTAGAATTTATTTTTTACGTGGTCCACTTTATCTGTCTTTTCTTTCAAGGGCCTCTGGCTTTGTATCATTCTTTTTTTTAAATTGTGTTTTAGGTGAAAGTTTATAGAGCAAATCCGTTTCTCATTAAACAATTAATATACAAATTGTTTTGTGACATTGGTTGCCAACCCCGCAGCGTGTCAACACTCGCCCCTTCTCCACGTCAGTTTCCCTGTTTCCGTTCATACAGTTTTCCTGTCCCTTTTTGCCGTCTCGTCTTTGCTTTTGGGCTGGTGTGCCCATTTAGTCTTGTGTACATGACTGAACTACGAAGCACGTTCCTCAGGTGTGTTGTTGTTGGTCCTACAGACCTGTCTAATCTTTGGCTCAGGAACCTCAGGAGTGACTTCGTACTGAGTCAGAAGGGTGTCCAGAGTTCATATTCTCGGGGTTTCTCCAGTCCGTCAGACCAGTAAGTCTGGTCTTTTTTAGTGAGTTAGAATTTCATTCTACATTTTTCTCCAGCTCTGTCTGGAACCCTCTCTGGTGATCCCCGTGAGAGCAGTCGGTGGTAGTCGCCAGGCACCGTCTGGTTGTTCTGGGCTCAGTCTGGTGGAGGCTGTGGTAGTTGTGGTCCGTTAGTCCTTCGGACTAATCTTCCTCTTGTGTCTTTGGTTTTCTTCATTCTCCTTTGCTCCAGCCACGATTTGTATCATTCTTGAAAAAGCCTTCCCACGTTGTCTTGTAGCTCTGTGGTTTCCTTTTTAATTAAATTTTTAATCTAAGCCAAAACTTCTGTTTGGTGTAAAGTGAAATCAGGATTTTTATAATTTTTTTTCCAGATGGCTATCCATTTATTGAATAATCCATTTTTCCAGCTTACTTTAAATGACTTCTTTATCATATTCTAATGTAGGGGTCAGGATTGTATTATTTTGACTATATTTCTACACAAATACAATGTAATGACAACAGCTTCATCATCTGTTTACCATCTGTTAGGACTAGCCCATGTTGTTCCTTTTCTTTTTCAGAATATTGCTACCAGTAGTTAGTCTAGGGGTTCTTATTCCCAAATAAACTAGAAATCTTGTTGATACTGTGATTGGCATGGCATTGAATTACAAGTTAATTTAGGGAGAATGGCATCTATATACTTGATTCTTTCAGTCCAAGAGTAAGATACAACTTCCCTTCTATTCAAGCGTTTGAATGTCCCTTACAGTTTAGAAGAGCCCTTGTGGCACAGTGGTTAATCACTCAGCTGCTAAAGAAGGTCAGCAGTTCCAATCCACCAGCCACTCCTTGGAAGCCCTATGGAACAGTTCTGTGGTGTCCTGTAGGTCGCTGTGAGTCAGAATCAACTCGAGGGCAGTGGGTTTGGTTTGGTCTAATTTAGAGTTTTCTCATGTAAATCTGACACATTTCTTATTAAATTTATTGTTAGGTGCTTAATTTTTTTTGTTGTCGTTACTATAAATGAAATCTTTTTTCCCAGTGTATCTTCCAACTGGTTGGTATTGGTATGTGGGAAAGTTATTACATATGGCTTTTGTTTATTTATTTTAACATTAATTTTGTAGCCAACTCCCTTGCTGGACAGATAGAGCATACCACATTAGGAATAGATAGGACTGTTCAATCCTGTTACTTTCTCAGCACAGTGTGGGGCATCTTTAAGTAGTCCCTAATAACGTAGGGATTTTAATCTTGGCCAAGAGCTTTCTTGATCATTATCACCACTGGTGGCGCAGTGGTTAAGAGCTGGGCTGCTAACCGAAAGGTCAGCAGTTGGAATTTACCAGCCACTCCTTGGAAACCCTACGGGGCAGTTCTGCTCTGACCTGTCGGGTTGCTATTAGTTAAAATCAGTGTGACAGCAAGGGGTTTGATTTTTGGGTTTTCTTTTTTTTTTTTTTAGTTTCTAAATAAAGTGAATATGGCCTCAGGGAAGAATTAAGGAAGTAGGTAGTTAGAATGGTAATCTAATGGGGTGGTTAAGACCATAGGCCCTGTAATAAGATGACCTCAGTTCATATCCTAGCTTTACTAGCTCTCCTGTTTAGGGAGAATTACTTAAAATCTGTAAGTTTTAGTTTCTTCATTTGAAAATTAGAGAATGAAAATTAAGAGTACCTATCTCATTTGCTGATTGTGAGAAATAAATGGAGTAATTCATACGGACATGACACATAACAGGTATTTAAGTTAGATAGTATGATGACGATACTGTTTATGATGAGTATAATAAACTGGCATAGAAGGATTGGTAAGAAAGTAGGAAAATTAGGTGATAGATATGCCATATGCTGCTTATTTTCCTTATATTTTAATGTCTTGTAAACTTCATGTTTGATTTTTATATTTAATAAATAGCTTTAAAGTTTTTTTATTTTGTTTTCTATATATTTTTTAGGACTCTATCAGTAAAATGTGGTTTGAATTTAATAATTAAGCTGAAAAGAAATGAATAATTATGTAAGCATGTATGAAGGAGTCAATACCGATATGTTATTTTGGATGTAAAATAAAACATAGACTTACAAAAAGGATCAGCCATCATTTCCAGAAAATTAGGCCCTATTGAAACATTGATGTCACTTTAAAATCTTTTTTACAGGCTTAATTAAGTAAATTAATTAAGCCATAGATTGAAAACCCTTGATTTTCCACCTTTGGTTTGATAGCACTTTTTCTGCTTTGTTTTTATCTACTCTAGGTTCTCTATTCGTATTCAATAGGTTTTGTGTATATTTTATTGGGATTGACAAGCACTAGTGGATTACGCCCTGCAGTAACATTTTGTTCACGGGTAAATACTAATCACATTTTCTTTAAATAAACATTTTCTATTATGTAGTTTTCTCTGTATTTCTAATTTCTCTTGTTCAAAAGGCTATTTTTGATGTAATTTGATAACTCCTTTAATATAATGTATGTAGATCATAAATTACTTTAGGAGTGAAATGATTTATGGTTAACTTGCTTTTACCTTTACTGTACCCTGTAAGTTAATTTACAAACTATTCATGATGTAGAAGTTGGGGATTTTCAACATCATCATTATTTTTCCATTAACTCAGAACTAAATAAGAACCTTTGCTTGACTGCATTGTTGAATGGCTTATTGTTGCTCAAGAAGTTGATTAAAATATGTATTTTTATTTCATTTGTAATACCTCAGGGTTTGTTTTGCGTATTTGAAGCTAACAGGTTTTTTTATTGGTTGCAGAATCCAGTTCGGACCTATGGTTATGCTTTCCTTTTTTCCCTCACTGGGTATTTTGGAATCTCTTTTGTTCTGGCTTTGATTAAAATTTTTGGTGCACTTCTTGCTGTAACAGGTAGGAGTGATTTACTTGCTTAAGTTATGAAATAAACATTTAAAATTTTCTCTGAAGTTCTTTTCTAAAATAATGGCAACATCTACTCTTCATTAAAAATTGTCATATTGCACCAATTTATTTTTCTTCCTATAATTTTTTTTTAAAAGTCTAAGGAAAATGACATGTGATCTTAATTTCTTGTTTTAAATGTTAATGTTAAAATCGAATATATGTATCTTTCTAAATAGTAACTTTTGAATACATTGAAAGAACTTGATGTTAAAAAGTATGGTGGATGAATACCTTCAGAGAAAAATACAACCTTAGTATAATTTTAATGTATAAATTAACATTCCCATTTTGTTGCATTTAAAGTAGGAAGCATATTTTAAAGTTTTTTGGACCTTTCATTTGTACATTTCCAGGACAGCCACCAAATTAGCTTCTCTTTCCACTAACAGTTCTTATGCTCTTGGTCTGTGCAGGGACTTTTGCAAAGCACTTTCAAAAAAACAAACCTGTTGCCGTCTAGTCAATTCCAACTCATAGTGACCCTATAAGACAGAGTAGAAGTGCCCCATAGGGTTTCCAAGGAGCGGCTGGTGGATTCAAACTGCTGACCTTTTGGTTAGCAGCCTGAGTTCTTAACCACTGTGCCACCAGGGCTCCAGGGCATTGTAGTGTCGTGAAAATGTTCCGTGCTCTGCTTTAGAGGAGAGTACAGTCTAGTGAGGGAAACAGAAGACACAGTGTGCTAGCTTGTGCTGTTTGTGGAGCAAGTGGTACAGATGATGAACATGCCAGGGGTCTCTCTGTGGGGAGAGCCCTGAGGCCCAGGCTGGGCAATAGGGCATCGCGTCAGAATACTGCAGTGGGTGTCAGAGAGGGCAGGACCCAGCCCCGCTCTGCCGTCTGAGGGCCTGTGACCTGGAGAGTCAGTCTCTCCTCTGGGCCCTGATTTAGTTAGACTGGAGCATCTCCATCAGGAATCTATAGAATTTACATATATGTAATACATACATAGATTAATCATTAACCTGATTTGAATTTTTCATGATTTTAGGGGACTACCTAAATTAAATAAATGAAATTAATAACTTTCTCTTTGTCAGAGTATATTTGCTTCCTAACTTTTCCCTTTATTTGCTCACATATGACTCCCTTTTTAAAGTTTATGTCCCTAATGGTAAATAGAGGGGATTTAATTATAGATCAGGCCATATGGTCTTTCAAGTCAGCTCATGGTGTCAAGAAAGATTGCAGATTCACACACTTGGCTTAGGTTCTCACTTTGCTTATAAGACAGTACTGTTCAAAAAGGGTGTGATGTCAGTTAATTGATGGTATTCATTGAGCCCTGTGATTAATATGGAAACCCTGGTGGCACAGTGGTTAGGAGTTCGGCTGCTCACCAAAAGGTCAGCAGTTCGCTCACATCCACCAGGCATTCCTTGGAACCCCAATGGGGCAGTTCTGCTCTGTCCTACAGGGTCGCTATGAGTTGGAATCCACTCGACGGCAGTGGGTTTTTGGCTTATGTGTAGGTATATGTGTGATATGTATGTGTTGGAGCCCTGGTGGCACAGTGGTTAAGAGCTCATGCTTCTAACCAAAAGGTCAGCGGTTCGAATCCACCAGGAACTCCTTGGAAGCCCTATGGGGTAGTTCTACTCTGCCCTACAGGGTCTCTGTGAGTCGGAATTGACTCAACAGCAATGGGTTTGGTTTTGGTTTGGGTGATTAATATAGAAGCCCTGGTATCCTAGCCATCGTTAAGCACTTGGCTGCTAACCGAAAGGTTGGTGGTTCAAATCCACCAGCTTCTCTGTGGGAGAAAGATGTAGCAGCCTGCTTCAGTAAAGATTTACAGCATTGGAAACCCTATGGGGCAGTTCTACCCTGTCTTATAGGGTCATTATGAGTTGGAATCTACCCATCGGCAGTGAGTTTGAGTTGGTTTTGGTGATTAATGTAAAGAAGTGTAAGATACAGTCCTTGTCCTGAAGGTGCAGGCAGATTTATTTCTATTTCTCATAAAAGAAATCCAGAGGTGGTAAAATAAAAACAATTACTAATATTTGTATAGCACTTACTCCTGTAGGGTCTCTATGAGTCGGAATTGACTTGACAGCAACAAGTTTGTTTGTTTGTTTTACTTTGTATCAGACACCATCCTACATAAAAAAAAAACAAAACCTGTCACCTTGAGTTGATCCCCATTCTACATATTTTACATTTTTAAATCTCTTAACAGTTCTGTAAAGTGGATGCTAGTGTCCCATTTTACAGATGGGTAAACTGAGGTACAAAGAGATTAAGTGACTTGCTCAATAGTCAGCCAGCTGGTAAGTTGCAGAGCCAGGATTCAAACCAAAGCAGTCTGGCTGCAGACCTGTGCTCTTAACTCATGTGCTATATGCCTCCAGAGCTTCTGTGGTGACTGTGGTCTTCAGGAATCCAAGCTCCTCGTCTCTGCTCTGCCATCTTCATTATGTTGCCCATGATCCACAGTGTTGGAGCTCTAGAGAACATGTCCTCTTGCTAGAATGGATCAAGAGAAGATGCAGAACACACCCTTTCCTGTAGGGATACTTGCTAGAAATCACACTAACACTTCTGCTCACATTTCATTGGCAAACACCTAGTCACACACCACACCTGGCAAGTGGAGGCTGAAAGTATGGCAGCTGAAACGAAGGGTCCTTACACTAACATCAGAGAAAAATAGCCATTGGTAATCAGGCTCTGGCGGGTTTCCACAACATTTTCTTCATTTGTTATTCATGCTGTAAGTATTATTATTCGTTCCCCTCTAGTTAGTTCCCCCACATGGTAGAACTGTGCTCCATAGGGTTTTCAAGGCTGTGACCTTTCAGAAGGAGGTTGTCAGGCGTGTCTTCCAAAGCGCCCCTGGGTGGGTTTGAAGGGCTAACCTTTTGGCTAGTAGTCAGGTGCCTAACATTTTGCACCACCCAGGGACTCTGTGCACTGAGTATTAAAAAACATCTCAAACCCATTGCCCTCGAGTCCATTCCGACTCACAGTGACCCTATAACGACAGAATAGAACTGCCCCACAGTTTCCAAGGAGTGGCTGATGGATTTGAACTGCTGACCTTTTGGTTAGCGGCCGTAGCTCGCCGTGGCTCTTAACCACTGTGCCACCAGGGCTCCAGGCATTGAGTATTAAGTGCCAGGAACTATAGAGTAGAGGAGGGACATAAGGATCAATAAGACAAGGAGGCTAAGTAAATCACAATTTAGTGGGAAGACAGCAAATTGTAATGCAGGGTTGGTAAAAAAGGGCTGTGATGGAGATACAGGCTGAGTTCCTTCCTCTGCCTGGGACTCGGGGAGGAGGTTTCAGGCCGTAAGGAAGCCTTCCAGGTGATACTTGAAAGACAGGTCAGAGCTAATACAGACGCTTAGAGAGGATTGTAACAATTGCTCAGTCTTACCCAGACATAACCACAGTTAACATGTTAGTATATCTTAGATTACTTATTTTTAAGAAGAACCCCTGCTACACCTAATCCTTTCTTCCTTAGGAAAGCCCTCCCTGTCCTGTCTCCCTCATGCTAAGTCTCTCAGAGGGATGACATGCCTTCCTAGTACCGTGGCTTCCATCAAAGAGCTTACTGCAGTTGTATTTCAACACTTAACTCTATTATCCTTTCATGTCTCCCCTGCTAGACATACACACCATAGTAGCGGGAGTAGCGGCTTTTTCTTTGCTTCCCATTGTTTCCTTGGCACCTCACGTAGATCCTGGCACATAGTAGGCTCTGCAAATATTTTTTTAATGTGTGGGTTCTGAAATATTATTAAAATGGTAGGCACATTCTAAACCAAACTTTTTTTCCCATACAGTGACCACAGGAAGAAAAGCAATGACCATTGTACTTTCATTTATATTCTTTGCTAAACCATTCACAGTTCAGTAAGTATTTTTAATTCAGTAAGTACTTTTTAATTTGGTAAGTTTCCTATTTCAGCTTCAACTTTTTACTTACTTCAACTTTTGTGCTTTTCCATTTTTGCAGTAAATGAATTAATTTTTTTATAAATTTTTTTTTTCCTATTATACTTTATAAAGAATCTTTTACACCTTGACCCATATTTGTTGATGTGCCTGCTGCTATTTTGGCAATGTATATAATTTACTATTTTGAGTTTATCCTTTTGTGTACTTAAATTGCCTAACCAGAGCCCGGTTCAAATGTGACCATATTTCCATTCTGAATGAACTTGAATGATGTATACACAGATGAGATTAAGGGGTTTCTCCTTGTCCTAGTACAAATATATAAATATATATATGAAAATGCGTGCTTTTAATAATTATTATTTTCTGCCTCTTTCAAAAAGGATTTGAGACAGAGAAAGGTATTTAGCAAGTTATGGCTTAATGGTTTATTTATTTACTGGCTTTTTGTGACACTACTCACTGTTATCTTTTCTGACGAGGATTTGTTTGAAATTTAAATTTATGTTGGTCAGTAACTGAAAAGATTGAAACCTAGAAATTACCAGTGTGTGAGTTTAAAGATAATCACAGCATAAATTTCCATCAACGTATTACAGATTATTGTTTGTTTTCTGTAAGTTAATTTTTGTGTCTGCATATACTAGGTATACACTACAGTAATCTACAGGGATCCCCTTGTTTTTTCATGGGTGGGTCTCTTTTTAGCCTTTTATATTCTATACAAATGGGACAACTAGTTGCACTGCTGAGCTGAATTCCCAAGACGGCCACTGGCAGATTTACAAACCCAGTGCTTGAAGTATGTTCATAAAACTTTTAGTCGATGTTGGATTTTTAATATACTGTTGTCTATAAAGTTCAAATGAACTACCTTTAGTATTTTTTTAAATACCTTTTCTCTATATATACTCAGCATAACAGGTATGGAATCATAGTTAATCTAAGAATACTGTTTTTATTTTAATGTTATTATCGCAGGCCTCCAATAGCAAAATTTTAGTTTATTGCAGAATTACTATGAACTTATAGCCAAATTATGTGATTAACAAGAAATTGTTACCTTGATATTAATATTTTTTCCCTTATTTCTTTCTCTTAGGTATGTATGGTCTGGTTTGTTAGTTGTCCTTGGTATATTTCTCAATGTTTACAGCAAAAATATGGACAAGATAAGACTACCATCACTACAAGGCCTGATAAACAAATCAGTGGATGAGAGAAAGTCAAGGATGTTGGCACAAACTGTGTAGGCAGTGATTCATACTGTTCAAAATGGAATCTTGTGGGAACAATCGTCAATTAACTCTACAAAGGGAGTATTATAAAAATGAAAGGCTCTGAAGGCATGCTATCCATTTGTGGATGGATTACATATGATAAAGTTGTTTTATGATGTCAGCCTTTTCTTCAGAACACCATGACTTGTTGACCTCTGAAGCAATCAAGAAAGCCATTGTCTGGCATACCTTAAGAATAAAATGTCAGTAGAAGGACTGAAATTGTTAGCACTTCAATGAGCATTTTCTTTGGACATGGACCATGTTGCAAGACTAATTGGATGTCATTTATGACATATCAAAGAAACTGATACGTAATAGATTGTTTTGTCTTCATTCCATTTTGGTGGTATTATTTAAATTGATTCTCTGTTATAAGAGTGAAATGATTGAAACTCTAGAGAGAATAGCATTCATTATAAATAAAAGTTATTCTGTGATTTTTTAAAAGAATGTGTTAATGCGGTTATGTTATAAAGAGGGAAGTGAAGGTTCCAATAAGGCTTGATATTAACTTTAAAACTTAAGTTTTCCTTTCATAACTTGAAAGTACTCTTCAGAGAAAACACGCTTTAAATTTTATGTAGGATACAGGCAAGGCAGTGAAAGCAGTCATCGGCCTGCATCACCTAAGTGTATCTTCACGGGGACATTGTGCTGCAGTTCACCAAGGAAGTACTGAAAGAGTTAATGCTGCGGATTTTTTAATTGAAGGGAAAGTAGTTGATGTCTTAAAATTATTTATAAAACCATAATGAAATTATCATAGATTTTATTTCTCATAAAAGTGAAATTTAATTTGAAAGCTTAAACATGAAGTAGGATAAATTTAAGAAACACAAGTAGGTTTAGAAAATTTGGACAATATGTTGCTTGCCCAGGTCTGAGTCTAAAACCCTAAAGGTTTTGGCCCTTATTTTCATCAGTGATTTTTGGAATGCTTCCAGTGTATTTAAAAAAAAAAAATTCCTATTAATCTTTATTTCCAATATAAGTAATGTTGGTTAAAACAACTTAGTACCTATGCTATTGATGATGTCATCTATATTTTGTGGGTATAAATACCTGGAATGTTTAATCTCATTCTTAACATTCCATTGTATTCTGATGGTGACTTTAACATGTTATGTGGATATGTAGGTACAACAGAGCCTATAAGAATGGAAGGCTGTAGTGTAATGAATTCTAACCAGTTTTCATTTGTCCCGTATGTTAAAAATACTGTGTTTTTTTCTCCCAAAATAGTAAACATTTTTAGATTTTCCTACCTTAAAATGGGACAAGATCTTAACTTGTACTTCATTATACTGCCTTAAACTCTTAAGATTACCTTACAAGGATTTGTGCTTTAAAGATAAAAAACCATTTTTCCCAAATCCTTGATAAAGTCTTGTCATTTTGACTTCTGAAAGCATTCTTTTATCCCCATACTTTTCAGATTGTTTACTACTGCTTTTACCAACTCCTCACCCCACTCCACCCCCCAAGGCAGTTTAGCGCTATTTAAAAATCACTATTTGCCAGTCTTACCCTTTATGCCCCATATTTTACCTCACTTATTTTATTCATGGGGCAGTCTTTAGCCAATAGTCTGAAATATAATTTTGAGAGTAAAAGAAATCAACATTTGAATGCATACTTTGTACCAGATTTTATAATAGTTTCTATCATGAATACTGTCTCATTTCATCCCAACAACCAAAATAGTTAACAGTAAGTTAATTAAAAAGAAGTAATCATTGCAGTAGCTAAGATATTAGTGCTTATTAGTGCCAGGCATTATTATCAGTGCTTTACATGATGAACTTTTCTAATCTTCACACCTCCATGAGGGTAAGTAGTAGTATTCTCATGGTACAGATAAAGCTGTGGCCAGAGGAATTAAGTGACTTTCCCAACCTTACTTAGCTAGAGAGTATCAGAGCTGTCTGCCAAGCAGTATGGTTCCAGAATCCGTACTCTTAACCACTGTATTGCCTCTCTCAGTAGATATGATTGCTCATGTTCACAGTTTTTGCAAATACAGAGGTTGAGGACCAGGTTAAATATTTACAAGCTTAAAATTACACAACTGCTATGGGACAGGACAGGACTTCAAACCCAGTTCTGTCCTATTCCAACACATATTTTCTGTCCATTGCACCTCACTATGAACATTTAAGTACCACCATAACCCGAAGTAACAATGATTGACAGAGTTTCTAAGTAAAAAAATTTGTGAGACAAATGAGTAGAGGATTATTTGATTGGGACATTGATTAAATGCAGATAGATGTATTTGTTTTCAGCAACATGTAGATATAAATTGTTCTTCAGCTTTGTTCACATTAGGTGCCTCATATAGCAGGTACTCAGTAAATATTTATGACATTAAAGCCTAATCTTCAAAGAATACCATTAGACCGTAAAAGATACTGGGTAGTTGACCTTCTGAATTTTGCCATATTATGTTCCTTTTCTTTTGTATAATACTCAGTGCAACAAAATGGCATTAATAGCAGAAGAATCTGGCCAACCCTGGTTGATCACTGTATTCAGATTTGACTGAGAGGTACACTGGTATAGCCAGAATTCTCAATAATACTTTATGCTTGTTGACAATTAGTTATTAAGTAACATCAGGCAGTCCCTCAGTTACGAATGAGATCCGTTCCTGTCTTTAAGTTGAATTTGTGGGTAAGTTGGAACAGGGGCATACAATTCTTATTTAGCATCAGTTAGTCAAATGTTTGTCTTAGTATATAAAACCCGTACTGTTGCCATCAAGTCGATTCCGACTCATAGAGACCCTACAGGACAGTAGAACTGCCCCATAGGGTTTCCAAGGAGGAGCTGGTGGATTTGAACTGCTGACCTTTTTGGTTAGCAGCCAAATGCTTGACCACTGCTCCACCAGTGCCTTTAGTATATATTTTATCTTCCTATGCATAGAAAACACTTAAGAAACACTGCCAAACCACGCAGTGTTTCATGAGTGTCACAAAGTAACACGTGTGTTCATTATGACAAACCATTGTATGTATTCAATTCAAATTTTTAATATAATAGGCTTTAGGGCAGTCCATTCTTAACTACGAATTGTCCATAAGTTGGATGTTTGAAACCCAGGGACTGCCTGTACTAACATTCTCTGGACTGTTATCCTAATTCTCTTAACTATCCCAAGTGATTTTTATCCTAAATTCACTTTATATTCTAGATTCTTCCTTGGTCAGAGCACAGAATCCTAGTTAAGTGTGACCAGTATAATGGACCAGTAATATAGCTTAGCATAATGGTGAAATTTATCCATTCCAATATCAAGTTAGCAGGTTATGCATCACTCTAAAACTTCTGTTGTGTGCTTCCTTCCTAAGCACGTACCAGTTTTCCCTATCGTGTTTGAGCATATATTTTTCATTTTTCCCTTATTCTGGCTTTTCATTTTTTCCTATTGAATGCTTTTGTACTTGCCCATTGAGCCAACCTCTGCAACTTTTGTAGCAAATAATGTAGCATCACTGACTTGACTACTCTCTTTATTTTAACATCATTTATTCATCCATTCTCACTGGGCAAAACATGAGCCAGGCATTATACTAGATGCTAGGAATGCAAAAAAATAACATACAACCCCAGTTTCTAGAGAAACTTTGCTATAATCTCTATACAAAAATACGTAAACAATCTTGGTTTTCTCCTAGTCACAGGTTATCTTATTAACCTTAGATTTTCAAAATAACATTTCCCCACAGTGGCAGAGCTTATAAAACCTTAATGTGCATATAAATCCCCTGAGGGTCTTCATTCAGAAGGGTTGGGTCAGGGTTTGAGATTCTGCTCCAACCACCTCCCAGGTGATACTGCCGCTGCTGCTGGTTCATGATCCACACTCGAGTTGCCAGGTCTTAGCGTACAAGCCTTCAGATGTTTTCAGTATCAGTACATCTTAAATTATTTGATAATTTTCACCTGATTTCCTTCCATTTGCTTTCCAAACTTCCCATTCTGTCTTGCCTGACCCTATTCTCTCAAAGTCTCTTTGTTCAACTGAATAGAAATCTTATCACAGTTTGGAGAGTTGCTGGCATAAGTGAAAAGAGTTCTTTAATCATTATAGGTGTTTGAAAGATTTAATATTCATTCCTTTCTCCATAAATGTTACCTTTTTTTTTTAATCTTCAAGAAAGTAAGATAAACCCATAATTCCCTACCAGTCACGGTCTGTTGTTTTAATTTCATGGCATGTAGTTAGGATACTTTCTATGCTGTTTTGTAGTGACACTGTGAAAAAAATGTTCACTTCAGAGATTTGCTGCTGCTTCAGAATGAACTGCGGATTACAGGGGCCTAGGGAGGTAAGACTTAACACGTAAGGGATTCTTCTGAGATTTTAATAATAAAACATTGTTTTTATTAAATATCTTAATCCTATGATAAGCCCCAAAATTTCTAACAGCATAATGAGATAATTTTAATCAGTTTAACACAATAAGATGTAAACAGATAAAAATATAGATAATTATCCACAGTAAGTAATAATAGAAATGGGATTTTGGAGTCTGAGTGATAGAGATCTCATTGTAGGGCTAGTCTCCCATTTTTTCTTCCAATGCCAGGTTTTCAATGTTAGGAGTAAAAAGCAGATCAATTCACATGTTTATTGTGTTTCATTTCTGACTCAACATCATGTGAGCATTTAGGAATTGATTTTTCCTATGTTCTGAAAAAATTCATTAATGTATATCTTAATTTTAATTGTGTAGGATTTTTCTTTGTATACTGTATTTTTATGTAAATAACATGCACCTTCTACATTTGTTTGCCAACTGCCCTCCCCCTCGAGGTATTTTTGTAAGCATGCTATGCTAATTTTTTCATGGCAACATGTAAAAAAATTAGCATAGTGGTGTTTATCACAATACTGCATGGAAGGGAGTGCACAGTTGGCGAACAAACGTAGAAGGCATGCGTTATTTGAGTAAAAATATGTTATATCACCAGAGAAGATTCATTAAGGCAGATAATTGTCTTTTCTCTAGTTTCTAGCTACATTTTAATTGATAGTGTTGGTCTGCATTATCTGTGCTAAGCAACACAAAATCATAAAATCAGAACTGTTTTGATGTTTGTCATGTTAAATCGAAAAGATGCTTGAGATGTCTGCCCTTAAGGTTGGAGGTAGTTGGGTGGGGTGAGGTGAGTGAATCTACTGTAAAATGCCTACAAACGTGTCTGTAGCCAATTTGAGTTATACTGGTGTTTATACAGGAAGTATTGCTGGGAAGTATTACTGGATTCAGGAGAAGAATGGAGCCGGAAGAGTGTTTCAGCATTGTTAACACAATGCGGTTGATGCTTGCGTAGGTCTCTGGATATGGGACTAGCAAGAATGGTAAGATACAAAGGATAAAAGTCATACACTGAATAAGAATATTTATTGTTTTAAATGTCCTAGCAACTTGG